ATGTTGGCGCAGCTCAGTACCGAGCTTCATCGAAGGGTATGGTGTCCTCGCTGGACGTAAACTTGCTTGATAAAGGGCAACGGGTTTAAGGTTTTAGGGTTAGGCGGCAAGTCGAGGTTTCGCAGAGGTCTGCAAAAATGCAATCACGTTGCAACGGCTTTGTGGCAACACCAAATAAGATCGCTCGCTTCTTGCTAGGTAAGCCAAGACGACAGCAGGTACTGAATGAGACAACTACACAGCCGGGTTTAGGGTTTGGGAGTCAAAGTTCAAGAGTTGGCACACAAGCCATAAGCCCCAATCCCTAAACTCTGATTCCTAGGGTTCAGTATTTAGGGTTAGGGTTTATAGCGTAGGGACCCCTAGCTACGGACCAACATGAAAATCAGAAGCCGTGATTTGCCTTCATCGTGGTATGTCTCAGACATCATAATGATCAGGTATTGAAAGAATTCTACACAGTGGTCGAAGCAATGCTAGTAGAAATTGAATCGTAATACTAGCGATACTGGAAATCAGAATAGCAGTAATAAGAACTGTTGAGATAGAGCCAAGCACACCCATAATTCTGAGCCCCCCTATCTGAGTTTTCCTTGGGTGCCGTCAAGCAAGTAGGACGCTAAGGGACCGCTAAATCAGTGGCCAGTCTTTCCAGCGCACTACACTAGGCCCTGGGTTAGCAGCTCGTCAGGGTGCAGGTAACGGAGAGCTGGTTTTTTTATCATATTTTCCTCCGTAAGGAGGCTGTTGCTTGTGCAGGCAGACAGGGAGCCCCCCAATTTGAGCAATGTCAGTGTAACATTAGCCCCGACACCCTAAACACATAACCACCTGAACCCTAAACCCTCAACATTTAAACCCTAAACTGGAAATTGTACAGAACCCTCTCAGGGAACACACATGGTAATTTCCCAAAAAAGGGGGACCCTAATATAGACCCCAAAATACTATAGTCCTTATTATAGGGACCCCCAAAAAGGTACCCCTAATTTTGGGAAATTACCACATTCTTCTGGGACTGCACTTTTGACTTCGTCTTGATGCTGGCAACTTCTTCGAGATCTGATTGAACTCCTCAACTCCTTCACACTAAAAACTCAAGCCCCAATAAGCATCCTTTGTATAATACCCCCAGTTTCCATGTTGTTTCATTTTTTCTTAGTTATGTAAATTTGCAGCCCTTGCACTGCATAATCCTGTAGTTAGCTAGCTCCTGCGGGTCGGCTGTCACGTTCCCAGAGAATCCAAAGCAGTCGCTGTCCTGGGTGAAGCAGGGGAGTCTCAAACTGCAACGAGGAACGCCGTTGCTGATTGAAACCTGCGCTGAAACTTGACCCCTAAACCCTCAACACTAAACTGCCCTAAACCCTACACCTTGACCCCCACTCCCTAAACCCTAAGCCCTAGGCCATGCAATCTCCCAACTAAAGCCCCACTAAACATCCCGGAGACCATCCTTCCGATAGTATCCTTATCCCTGCAGGTCCCTTTGGTGATATCAGAACCTAAAAGGATCTTCTGAACCCTAAACGGTCTTAGGGTTAGGGAAATACCCTAAACCCCAATCAGAATCTACAACCAACCAGTCTGATGCTTTGCTAAAACATGAGCCCATGGCCCTTTGTGGGTAGTTCCCAACCTCAGGGTCCTATTTTAGTACCCCGTAATATAGTTCATAACCAAAAGGGGCCCATAATTTTGAGCCATGTAGCCGCCCTTCAGCACCCTTTGGTGGAGGTTCTATGCTAGATTAGCAATGAGAATACTGAGGCAATTGGAGTCTGTGACTTGACATTCGTACCTTATGGCTTGGGGATTAAGCACCAGGGCGAAGTGCAAGAGGCAAAATCATGACACTGGTAATCATCATCACAACAGGCAAGGTTCTGACTAGGCAGATCTAGCATAGGCAGATCTAGCAAAACACTGGTTAAAACTGTACGCGCATCCTCAGGAACAGTCTCGAAACAACACTAGCAAAGGCAACCAAAGCAAAGAAAGGACGCTGATTGGGAGACCTCCCTTTTTGCCCCTTTTCAATATGAATGAAATTCCCGCTACTCTCCAACAAATTGAAAAGACTGTTAGTCTTGATATGGCCCTTCCTCGGGTGCTTTTTAAAAAATGGGGGACTAGCAAGGGCCCCACAAAATGTACAGGTAAGATGCAGCCACGCAGGGGCCCCTGCTTTTTCTCTGCCCATGCTGCCATAGTCCGTGTTCAAATACGTGTAGGCCTTGTTGTTCCTGCGGCGCACGTCCATGAAAAAACGGGATTACCTTTCCTGAGCCTGGAGGAACTGCAGCCTCGTTCTGCTGGCTGAAGCTCACAAGTTCGTGCTTTCAGTACTTTTTGGAGAAACCTGTATAAAACTAGCCAGTATTCGGTACACTCCATTCATGTTTTACAAGAGTTGGTGTGACTTTGGGCCTCCGCATCATAGGGACTACAGTACTTCGGGGTTACCGAGGGCCCCTTTTTCTGGAAATCCCCAGTGTGGAGCACGTTGCCGCACGGTCTATTGTCCGCTTGGACTAAGCTCACCTTCCTGCACATTGCAATGCAATCAAAGCCTCTGAACTTGATGCGGGGGCACCGACAAAAAAGGCGTGGCTTTCGGTGGTCCCTCCAGAAACAATTCGACTGATGTGGCATCTATAGGGGAGATCTCTGCTTAGCGAGAAAGCCCGAAAATGTCAAGCTTTCTCCATTCCGAGCCTCTCAATCCTCCGTCCATCCCTCTGTCATGTAGGAGCTTGTCGAAATTACCATATAGAATCCTCACGAAGCTGCAGTCCATTAGTGATAGACCTTAAACCCTAAACCCTAAACCATATATCCCTAGAATCCCTGAAGTCTCCTCATCTTGAGAAACCCCGTGTGAGCTATAGTCTAAACTCCTAGCATGCCCCTTAATAACCCCTACAGTATAGGGTTGGGGATTTAGGGCCTAAACTCCTAGTATACCCCTTAATAACCCCTAAAATACTCCCCTATATAATGCCCCTTTAAGGAGTTTAGACTGGAGCTCATGTTAACCTACCCTAAACCCTAAACCTTCCCTTTTCTTGCCCCTGTAGGTCCCGGTAGATCCGAGGATCATCAGGTCCTGGTACTGTCCTGGTTTCCTTGGCAGTGCAGCGATGAATTTGGGAGTTTCCTAAAAAAATCAGGGGTACCCTAAAAGGGGATTATAGTGGCTCCATGGGGATATATTAGGAGGACCCTAGTATATTCACTATTATACATACAATCACTATTACTGGGTGGAGTGGGGGGTCCACCTAAGGAATACATAAAGTCATAGAGTGTTGGGCTTGTGGCCTGGGAACATGGCATACGGCCTGGAGCTCAGTTTATTCGTCCCCCCGCGGACACCACGTCGTGGTGCGAACTAAGCAAAACATGCAATAGCGGCATTCAATTCTGAACGCGCACTCCCGCGCAGAAGTTCTACCAGTTGATATTGGTTTCTGCAAGTGTGCACCTCCAGACTTAATAAGACAATGTAAATGCCTAATGCAAGCGTTGACTGTTCGAAAGGGTTAATCGCCTCACTGCCTCAAACCCCGGATGTTTCTCAGCGCCAATCAAGCATAATCCGCAACCCTGCCGGTGCAGTTGTTCTGTAGCACTTGTGGCCAACAGTTCAAGGCCCTGAAGCATTCACGCTTCAGACTGCGCAAGCTCCATGGCATCCTTTGGCCAGGCAATGATGTCCACCTAACTTTCGCTCTCAGCTGTATACCGCGACTCTGTCAAAGCCACACTAGGCGTGCTTACACCTTTCGATGTAGCAAAGGCACTATCTACTGCGAACCTGACGGAAGGATAGGCGGGCCGCGTTTCCGCTGCTTGCTGGAAGCATAGGCAGTCTCAGCGCCGCAAGCATGAGCAAGTTGCAGCTCCCAGCAGGACTTGAGACCAGCGCACTGTACGACAGCCACAGTTGCTCGCTGGCGAGCGCAGTGCGGCTGCTGAGTTTCCACAGGAAGCAGCGAATCAAGCAGAGCTGAGGCACCGTCAGAACACGGGTTCGGAACAATCCTTGTGCCTGATCGGGGTGCGAATAAAAAATACAGGTTTGTGTTCCTCATTGGGCTTAACAAAAAGAACGAACAACATGTATTCAACCTGGACCGAGAGGATTTGGGTAACTCAAACATAAGGACGCTATAAGAACCATGTAAGGTTACCAAAACCCTCTTCTTAAATTGGCGTTCATTTTGCATTTGTCCATTTGATTCGCCATGCTTGGCAACCTGCACTCTAAGCCCTATAAAGTAGCCAGAAACCGCTTATTGACTTGAGGCCCTCAAGCCTAAACCCTTGTTGCGTTGCTCGCATCTTTCCAGTGTTCCGGGTCCCTCTACATACATCGGGATATTTGGGGATTCTAAGCGGATAGGGATCTATTCAGATTCTATAGGGATATACAGGGATTCTATACACATTGTATAGGGATATATAGGAGTTCTAGCTTACAGGATACATGGGGGGAATGAATTGGGCTTTCGCTACCCAAGAGTGAACCCCAATCACAAAAGCGCCCAAACGTGCACACACTTATAGTACCCCGAATAGATACACCCAAAGCATTCCGAATCACCATATACCGTCACCAAATGCCATTATGAACACCCTACTTCACATAACCCGAAACCGTTTTAACCAGTACAAACCAAGTTTTCATGAAATTGTGTGTTTCTTTTCCGTTTGATGCTCCATTATCCTCTCCACCCTAACCCTACACAGTAATTTCGAAGTTATTTTTGTATCCCCCTAAATTTTAATATGAAGCCCTATAAAATCCCTACGCGCTCCTTTAGTAATTTCCCAAAATAGGGGACCGCAATATGGACCCCCAAATACTATAATTCTTATTATGAAGACTCCCCAAAAATGTACCTCTAATTTTGGGAAGCCCCCACCCTAAAACCCCAAACCCTAAACACCAAAAAACTATAAAATCCTATAAAGAAACATCAGACCCAGGATGCTCAGTCAGAGTCCGTCTCTTTCAGAAGGAAGTCTGGCCATCGAACCTTCCTGCGTCCAGGTCATGCACTGTGAGGTTTAGGGTAAGATCACTGAAGGATTTAGGGCTTTGTATTTAGGATGTAGGGTTCAGGGTGTAGTCTAGGGTTTAGGCTATAGGGTTAAGGGTATGGGCTTTAGGGTTTAGGATGTAGGGACTAGGATGAAGGAATTGGATGTAGGATTCGGGGTTTGGGACCTAGGTAATAGGGTTCAGGATGTTGGGTTTAGGATTTAGGGTTTGGGATTTAGGGAATAATGTTGAGGAACATAATCCCCCCATAATGGAGACTCAAACTGAAAAGAATATGAGAGACGACATGTGGGGGTTGTGGAATGTGCGGGCCTGAAGAATTACCATCATCATATGTAAGGTTTGTATGGTGGTCCTTTTTTCTTATACAAAGAACCTATGACTACACCTTTGGTAATTCATAAGGCCCCTACAACATGCAGGGCAGATGAAGTCCGGCATGTCATGGGTCGGTCGGTCTGCACACGGATTATGTCGTGCTATGAACGGATGATAAGCAGAACCCTAAACCCTAGATGGAGGGATGGGATGAGCGAGGAATGGCAGGAAGGGGACAGGGTGGGGAAGCAGGGTGGGGAGCCTCATCCCTGAAATATGAAATGCTGGGCAAACAGCTGCGGACAAAGACCTGGACCGATCCCAGGAGGAGAAGGAGAGCTGCGCTACATATCACAGCAGTGACCATCTATGGTAGAATCCCAAATCTAAGGTTGAGGGTTTGGGGAATCCTAAATCTGGACGAGAGTCTCTGCATCCTTCTTGTGGAGATGAATCCTGAGTCAGCTATTGGGTAATCAAGGTGTCACAGGATGAACGGAATCCAGCAAATCACAGGCATCACAGTGATGATCACAGCTGGTCTGGGAACCCAGCAGCAGCCACAGCTTCGCCTGTGGGTCATCTTGAATCTCTTCTTCCCTGCTCATGTCCTTGGTTGATGGGCTATGACAGAACTGCTTCATGCTACTAGCAGCAACCAGCGCAAGCTGTCACACCGACCCCTAAACCTTAAACCCTAAACCAAACTGATAGCAGACAGGTAACCCAGTAGCACTCTTCCCAATCCAGGTCAATGCTAGGGGTTCCGCTGAGGACCTCCTGCCCCTTGACGGACACAAAGACCCTGGTGGGAAAGAATTCCGCCCGGATGTCTTTGGGCACTGTGTCGTCGGGAAGTTGTGCCTTAACCAATACCTCCAGGCCATTCCGCTCCCATGTATACTTCCCACTAGGATCTTTCCCGCCCTCGCCAACGTCATCCCGTCCAACGAGTGGAGCTTCCCATTCCGGCTCTATATCATCGGGGCCCATGTCATCAATCTCCTCCCAACCCAGAAGCTCAATATCGAAACGCACCGTCGCGTTCGGTGGTATCTTCCATCCAGCACCCTGCGCTCCATAAGCCACAGATGAGTCCATCACGAAGAGAGACCTCCTGCAGAAGGCCGAAGTAATAGTCATAGTGGTGTTTAAAGCCATGATAACAGCAACAATAGGTCAGCCGTCTTGGAAAAGATACCACATGCTGTTAGAGCACTACTATCTCCATCCCTGAGCACTCATATCTCGCTCAACTGAGAAGGACTGAGGCATCCATCTAGGACTGGCAATCCGGAAACCTCAACGTGAGCCATGTGGTTCGGCTCTTCACGGAACGTCCTCCAAATCCTAGTACAACACGACCAAACCCAGAAGCTCAGAAATTACCTGGAGGCTGATGTGTAGTAGAAGTAGGGTCTAAATCCCCCAACGTAAATTACAGCCGCACTTAAGCTACTTATAGCCCCAACTATGGCTACCCAAACCCAGAGTCCTAAACCCTGGTCGAGTGGCTCACCCTTCATCATGGTAGGGATGCCCTTGTCCCAGCCACCGATCACGAAGCCCAGACCAACACGGAAGGTGTATGGCTCATGACGAACACGTGTGTCGTCAAATACCTCGTGTGGCAAGAACTTCGACCTACTTCGGTACCCGAGCAGTCAAGAGTTCAGTTCAGGGCAATTTCTGTAGATAGGAGTTGCTCATGGGGATGGTGTATCTAGGGATTCTAGGGTTACATGGAGACCAGTGGGGCTATCTACGGGGTCTATAAAGCCTACTTACAAGGTCCACACCGTCTTAACTCTCCTGTATATGCGCAAAATTCAGGGTTTGCAGCTGACTTGGCTAAACCCTAAACCCTAAACCTAATCCGCACCCCAGGCTCAAGAGAACGCGAATGTCTGTAATGTCTGCTCAGGCATCTACCTTGCGTTCCCTACTAACACCCCAATTTGTAGCTGGGAAACCCTAAGCACTTATGAGCTATCGTCCAAACTCCTTCAAGGCTTGAAGGGGGGGTAATATAGGGCATTATACGGGGGAGTATGATACAGGTTACTAGGAGCTTCGACTATAGCTCTTATGACCCTGGTGATGCTGATTCTTCATGCGGGCCAGGCTCTGTACCGTCTTCCAAAGAGCCAATGAAGTGCACAGTGACCTGTGACAAAGAGGGTTTGTAAGGATGCTTCCAGGGATTATATAGGGTTTTATATGGACTATGGGGTATATATTAGGGTAATATAGGCTACTATAATGGGTTCCCGGAAAGCCTCATCCCCTAAATAACGACCTGATGGCTGTCACGTTACTGTTGCAACGTCAGTTGACCCCGGGGCTATTGATTACGGTAGTGTTGCAGGCTCTGACTCAGCTCTTTGTATCGGCATGACAGGAGCAGCACTGTCCGCAATGGTAGTTTCATTACATAGCCAATATATACCCCAAAATACCATAATCCTTGTTATGGGGGCCCCCAAAAAGGTACCCATAATTTTGGGAAAGCCGCAGTTGAAGCCTGAATTTACTGGCGTGTGAGTTACCGGGACTACCCGTAATAGGCTACAACCTACTTGTTGTACTTGTGACGCCATTGTGAGCCCCAGAAGTCCCGCAATATCTGTGATCAGGTTAACTGCATGTTAGATAATCATCGCCCTTGACAAGACTCCACCCCCTCCCCCCCTCCACCCTGTAAATAGAAGATTCCAAGAAGGTTTACAAGATAGTATGACAGTTGATGTAAGCTGAGGCTTCAACCGATCCCTGTGAATTCCTTTGAAATGCGACAACAATATGAGGCTTCAAACTCGATGACAGTTGCGAGGACCACGCTGAGGGCCACCCCAATCCCTGTAACTGTTGGCACTTTTGACGCGACGAAAGCACAAAGGGGCTAGAACAGTTACGAAGATACACAAGCCCGAGGGGCTCCATCCCTGTGACTGTTGACACCCTTGCAGCATTTGGGGGAGGGGGTGAACCTCTTTTTTGGCCCTTCAACCTCTTTTTTGAACTGCGCAGACCTAAACCCCAGACTCTGACCCCTAAGCCCTGAATCCCACGAAGATGCACGTAATCACCATCAAATGAGTAGCGTTTTTTGGTGGTTGAACCTAGTGAGATTATATTCCTTAAATAAAATACAATACCCCAAAAGGAGTATAGAATCTTACTCTATATTGGGTACCATAGTATCCCCACATAAAATACCACACAACTGAAGGAGGGAGTCGGGTCTTTGAAGCGACTTACTTACCCAAAGGCTCGACATACTTGGGACTTCAAGGGCTT